CAGATCGGCCCCTGACTCTTCTTGCATCGTGGGTAGGCGCCCTGCTGGTGGAGTCTGCTCCTCAGCGGATGTCTCCGCCTGTCGAGCGCCCCCGCCAGGGGCGGGACCGCCCGCGTTCTCCTCGAACTTCGAGAGGTCCTCATCGAATCCAGCCGTCGGTTTTGACGACTTCAGAACGTATCGCCCGTGCGCGCGTAGACCCAGCGATTGCGCAGATGTCGAGGGCAGTGCCGCCCGACTCGTCGTAGTGGAACCCCGGGGCAACATCGCTGCCATAGTAAGCTAGGGTGCAACTGTCGGCATGCGTGACAGCTGGCAGTCAGTGGGCGTTTTTGACAAGTCGGGCTGTCGGGCTGTGGCCACGTTCTCGATCCTGAAATAGTTCCCTGAAAAGGCTTGGGCCCAAGGTTCTCTTGTAATAAGTTCATTCTCCCCAGAAGAGGGCCGGCGGAATTATTCTCGATAACGAACGAAGAAAAGTCCAATTCGGCGTGAACAAAATGCGTTTCGCGCGCGACCGCTCGAGGAAAGTCAACCCCCCATCTCGGGCCCTTCGTAAATAACGGCGTCCGCGGACCACCGTTAAACGAAGTCTGGGGCCCCGACCGCGACGCCGAAAAGCGCCCCGCGCGCAGGAATTCCAAGGGCGTCTCGCGCGCGCCGCGCCCCGCGCGCAGGAAATTTGAGGAGGTCTCGACTAATTCGCTTGTTGTTTCATGGGTTTCCTTTGATTTTGACCAGATGTCTCGAGCGAAACGCTTGTTTTTCCATAAGTGGTTGAGGATGTCTCGAGCGAAACGTTGGTTTTGCAAGCCTCCTCCGGGGCATGGCCGCGCGCTGCCCAATAGTCCAACTCATTATGGGCCAGCGCTGGCGGGCGCCGCGCCGGCGGGCCGCCCCAGTCGGTCGGCGCCCCCGCGGGGGGGCGCGAACGGGCGCGCGGGGCCTGCAACGCCGCAAATCATCCAATGCTGATGGGGCCCCAGCGGATGTCAATCTGGTCGTCGGCCGCGAGATTGGAAACAATACTGGTGCGATGCTTTGGCGTGTCTCCACGCGTCGTGTCATTAATATTAATGGGCGTGTCCGCGCGCGTGTCATCGCCCGCGGAAGTCATTGGCGCGTCTCCGCGCGTCTGAGTTGCCGGGGCAAATGGGCCTGCTCCGCGGAGGGCCTCATCCGCGGCAGGGGCCGCCTCGGCTGCGGAGATGCCCCGTCGCGCGCCGCCATCTCCCCCTCAATGTCGCCGTTCGGGAGGTCGAGGAAGAGGTTCGTCACGGCGTGGGCCGTGGCCTCGCGACTGGAAGAATTTTAAATGAGGAGCGCCCCCGATGGGGAAAGGTCGAGCGCCGGACAATCGACGCACTCGATATCCTCAGCGATTTCTTGGGCCGGCACAAAGGCAGCCGCGCCCCCCCACCTTGCCTTTCGCGCGCTGGTTCTGGAAATTGCTACCGCTACCGCGACTTTTGCGTGGCATCCCCCTCCCAGAGCGGCCCGCGGGTTTGAATTTCTGGCCTTCTCCTCTGCCGGTCGCGCGGCGTTGGCCCGACCCTTCCCCGGGGGGATTTCCTCGTTGCCGGCGCCCGTTAGGGTCGCAAAAAACGCAGCAAAACCACGGCCATGCAAACGTCGGTCGCGGTGCCCACCCCTGCCGCGCCTCTTGCCCCGTCGGCGACGCGCCCATCCGATTGCTCCGCGGACCCGTCGCACGGGTTGTTCGACAAATCTCCTTCATCGACGCTTAGCGTGCTGATGGCCAAAGCAATGATACAGCGGTCTCCGCATCTCCTAGTCCGCGGGGTAGATCCGACACATCTAGGCTTTCGGCCCCGCCCGAGGATGCCGCGTCGGCGTGGGCCCCAGAGTCAGAGGGCGAGTTTCTGTTAGCGACTGAGCCCCCTAGGGCGGTCTAACTGTCCAGCGCAGTGTAGGAGGTAGGGTTAGGTGGCTGCCCCCAGCTTTGTTGCGGCAATGATGGATGACCTGCGCTAGTTCCCCGGACTTGAAGGGCAGTAGCTAAGAATGCTCTGCCCCCCTCTGTGTCACGCGGGCCATCGGCCCACATGTTGACGGACGCCGCCGCGCCTCAGCCAGCGGTAGTTACGTAGGTGTTCGCGTTCCCGCACCCTGCAGTTCCCAGCAACACATTGCCACATTTCACCGGGCGCAAGTAAGTAGCTGGAAGTTCGGGATAGCAAAGCCTACCGGATCGGCCCCGAGGCGCGCCATCTCGAACCTGGCGAGGATAGAATCCGTTCTTTCGCCTGGATCGAGCCTGAAGTCGATGAGCGCCGAGCCTGAATTGAGCCGACGCTCGTCCTCTAGGTTCTCAACTTCTGGCGCTCGGGAGAAACGTGATATACGGGACGGGGTCAGGATGGGCCCCTTGTAAGGTCACGCCGTGGCTAATGATCTGCGCTTAGATTCGCATCGCTATATTGCGCGCTGCCCCACCCAGACCACGTTGCAGGCACGCAGCCTGTTGTTGCAGAGTCATGCGGGCGCATGGACTTCGCGAGTGAATTCGAAAAAACGATACGTTCCCATATGGGTCCCAGTACGGGCCCTGGGTGGTGTGAGCGCCTCCGTCGTTGTGGCTACCGCGTTTCATGTGACCAATCGCACAGCCAATGTTTAGCCAGCTAATACCAAAGAGACATCCTTCAAGTATTGCTTCCATTCTGGGTCATACCTGGTGTTGTTAGTTACCATCGGCGTATCTGTCGCCGTGAGTCGGCGAGACGGCTGTGGAGGCATGCCCCCATGTTCCCAAGTTCGCTGTAAGTTGGACTGTAGTGGCGCAGGGCCGCGGCGTACACGCTATTAGGTGTAGCCAAGCTGGCGTCGCATACAAGGAAAATGGCGTTCCCGCTTTTGGCGCCCCCGCCTGCTAGCCAGTAGTCTCGCTATTACGTCGCAGTGGTAGCGGCGGCAAACCAAGCCGCGCCGTGGAATAGGATTGCGATAAGCAGGAGCTGATCACATCTTAATGAGGCCAGCTCCACTACCAAATAACAAAATGCGATAGGACCATGGGATGGCATGTGGAATGTAAGATGTAGAATAATGCGTTCTTCAGAGATTGACAGCTCCTGCTTCCAATGCAGTAGTAAGCTGATCCACAGCCCAAGCAAATATAACCCTGGTGCTTACGCCAAACACCATCGGGACGCTCGCTCCGCTCGCTGTCTTCATATATCCCAGCCCTCTGATCTACTTTCAGAGTAAGAGTGCCGCAAGAGGCCCCCGAAATGGTCCAAGAGGGTCCCTAATCGCCAAACGATCGGTCCAAAACGCCTTCACGCCCTCCAAACTGCCCAGGAGGCCTCCAGGACGCCCCAAGAATACTCCAAGAACACTCCCGAAAAGGTCCCAAGAGGCCAAACTCATGGATTTTCTCATCTACTCTCATTATATATATCTATATATATATATATATGTATTATATATATATATATATATATATATATGTATATATATATATATATATATATATATATAATATATAAATATATATAAGGCAGTATCGGCTTTTCCACTTCCCGCTGCTCCAAGACGGCGCAAGAGGCCCCAAAGACCGCCCCAAGAGGCCTCAAAGAGAGCCCCAAAACAGTCCAAAAGGACCCCAAGGCAGCCCCTAAGGTTTTCAAGACGGCCCAAGGGGCTCCCAAGACGGCTCCGAGAGCATGCCCTGACGGGGGACCCGAACGGACATTTCGAGCCCTCGGCCTCGAGAGGCTCCCAGGAGGCCCCAAGAGGTTCCCAAGAGGCCTCGAGAGGCCCGCAACAGGTCCCCAGGAAGCCCGAAGAGGCCTCTAAGAGGCTCTTAAGAGGCGCCCACGAGGCCCCCAAGAGGCTCCCAAGAGGCCCCCATATGTTCCCCCAGATGCCCCCGAGAGCCGCCCGAAGAGACCCCAAAAAGCATTCTTGAGGACTCTTGCCCACGTCAGCGTCATCGTCGTCGTCGTCATCGCCGCCGCCGCCGTTGTCGTCATCGTCGTCGTCGCCTCCCTTCAGGGTCGGCGGCACCGGCCGCAAGGCCTTCGCAATAGATGTTAGCACTAGCGGACGGCAGTCAGACTTTACCGGACAGAACGTTACCCCAAGCACGGAGGCGGCGGCGGCGGCAGGTCCTTGAGCTGCACTAGGTCGGAAAGATAGTATCACTAGCGGATGGCAGTCTGCCCTTACCAGACAAAACGTTGATACAGTCCTCAGCACCGCCCATCACGGAGCGCGTGGGCGTATGGAAACGTAGGGCCACGGGATACGCCCCACAGCCTCGACGTCTCCGCACCTCCCCACTCCATCTGCCTGTCGTCCGATCTAAGGCCCAAGCCCGCTCCTCACCCCCCGAAGGAGGTGAAGAAGAAAGAGAAGGAGGAGGAAGAGGAGGAGGAGGAGGAGGTTGGACGACGACGACATGGAGGACCCGCAGCAGCAGAGAGGAGGTGTTGGCATCTAAAGCAAACGAAGCTTGGCCCGTCATCAGTCAGGGATGTCTCGCGAAGATAAAACCGATACATAGCCGCTGGCACATCATGGCAATGTGCGCCAGCATCGCAAGTTCAATATATCTCATGTGGTGAAGTAGCTGGTGCAAGGATTCTCCCTTGGGCGTACATGCTTGCCAGATTGTTCGCCGCCCAATCCTGCGAGACCACGCGCTTATCAGTGGAACGAGAAATAGGAGGACGAAAAACAGGCGACCCATTTGGTTCTGAGCTGGAGGCCAGTCGCACACTCATGAACTCACCGTCAGTCTCGACGTCCCACCACCGCCTGCGCGCATTGCATCCTGCAGGTGGGCCCCCCTGGGCGAGATCTCCGTTCAGGGCTCCACAGAAGAAGATGAGGAACAGCAGCAGGAAAAGCCATGCAGGTCGAGACGCCCGTGGTTGGGAAGGATACGGATGGGGACAACGACTAGCAGCGACTCCAATACACCTTGGGCGGGACTCGGCCAGTCTCAGAGCAGACGCGGCCCAGTCAGCGGCAGTCCTAGGCAGTCGATGCCCACATAGTCTGACAACAGTCGCTGTCCACTGGCAAGGGTGTGGGGCTCCTCCACGGTCCCAGACCTGACCGAAACTGGAAAAACCACAAGGTACCGATGCCGCTGCACCCTGGACCTCTCCTGGGGTGCGTACTGACTAGAATTTCGAGGCGAGTTCAGCGGTGGCGACGAGGGCCTCTCAGGAGGCCCAAAAAGGCGAAAACGAGGTCAGGGTAGCGGTAAGGGTACCTTTTACCTTCTCTGAGCAAGCAGAACGTTCCGCCGAAAAACCGCCCACAACATCCCTCATGTGGCTGAGCTCGGCCAATGCTCTGGTCAGCGCCCATGTGCTGCCCGTCGTTGCAGTCGCCCGTATGGCTGTGTCAATGTGCCATCGCTCGGACGTCCATTCCCCGTGCATGTTTCTGTTTCGTGCGTCCATGTTTCGCAGGATGGTCCAAGATGCTCCTCGATGGTCCTCGCCGAGAAAAAAATAACACGTCCGAGCGATGCCAAGTCAAGCCAGGCCATCTCGCCACACCCTCGGCGGAACCAGCCTCTGCCCCCCAGCCTAACCGCCGCGGGCCGAGCAGGCGGATCGGCGCAGCCAGACTGACCAAGGGGGGTGGCCTGTCGAAAGCTGAAAACGGCAGCAGCGAGGAACTTCCTGCGTATGTTCCATCCCCCTACTCCGGATCCATCTCAGCATGCTGTTGTCATTGCTCTACATATGCCAACACTCCTGATGATTCCCTTTGTTACCATAACGCGAATTATCATCGTGTGTAATTATCTCCACCGTCATCATCAACAACAACACCATCAACGTCAACATCAACATCGCCATCATCATCCAAAACATCGCCGTCATACTCATCATTCTTACCATCATCGTCATCAACATCCTCCTCCTCCTCGTCGTCGTCATTTTTACCCTCATTCGCCACCGTCGTCATCATCGGCATCATCGTCGTCTCCATGCTCGTCATCATCGCGATCAGCATCCTCATTCCCGTCCTCACATTCATTCGTCACCCTCGTCATCACCATCATCACCATAATTAATCGTCATCAGCATCATCATCATCACAATCGTCATCAGCATCATTATCTTCATCATCATCACCAGCATCGACATCGTCATCATCATGATCAGCAGCATCGTCACCATCATATTCGTCATCACCCCCACAGTAATCATCATTATCATCATAATAATCGGCATCCTCATCCTCATCCTCCTTATCGTCATTCGCATCACCAACAGCATCAACATCAGCATCAGCATCATCATCAGCATCGTCGCTGATGTCCGCATCCTCATCACCGTCATCACCCTCACCCGCATCATCAACATCATCACCCCCTCTGACTCCCCATCCTTCTAACCTTCATACTCCTCGCTCAAATTTGAAAAGTACTGTTCCTCGTGTACTAGCAAGCCTGCAAGCATTCTTCTAAGTACGAAATGTCTTCGGCAATGGTCCAATGTAACTTGCATTCCTCCTCGTCATTGTTTCGCAACAACACCACGCCCTTGAGAACAATACAGAACTCCAACCCAAAGGAAGACTGTAACACGGAACGTCACTTGTTCTGTAAGCTAGCCGCCACCGTGCCTCTGGGCACGGAATGTGCGTGTCCCCAGGTCCGTTGCCCAAGCCCCTGAGCCCCAGCCCTCAGTCCCGAAGAGTCGGTCAGGGACCCTGTTCTCCAGGAAGTGGTCCCGCATGACTTCCCAGTCCAGGGCCACGAGGGCCCCAAGACGGGCCAAGAGGGCTCCAAACGGCCTCCAACACTGATTAAGAGGGCCCGAAACGCCCAAAGATCGCCCCAAGACGCCCAAGATGGCCAAGCCCAAGAGGCCCAAGGCGCCGAAGGGCGCATAATTCTCCCAAAAACTCTCCCAATACGGCTCGAGACGGCCTCTTAGATGGCCACGTTGGCCCAAGATGGCCTCCAAAATGGCCTCCAAGTCGCCAAAGATGGCCTCCAAGATGGTTTCCAAGACGGCCCGAGAGAGTCCAAGATGCCTTCAAGTTCGTCCAAGAAGCCTCCAAGACTGCCCAAGATGGCTCCAAGATGGCCTAAGACTGGCCAAGAAGTTCCCAATAGGCCTCCAAGACGTCCTCAAGGAAGGCCCGCAAGGGCAACAATCATTGATTGTCCTTAGGTTTCGAAGGATGTTGGCATTTTCTTCTAATCAGCTCTCGGACGGCCCAAGACGGCCCAGAAGGCCCCCAACATCGTCCCAAGAGCGCCCAAGACAGCCCAAGATGGCCCTGAAGACGCCGAATATGGCCTCCAAACCGACCAAGATGGCCCCAAGATGCACCCAAGACGGCCCCAGATGGCCTCAAGATGGCCTTAGACTGCCCAAAAAGCCCACAAGAAGCTTCCAAGACGGCCCAAGAGCCCTCCAAGACGTCCTCCAGGAAGGCCCGAAAACTCGGAAACCACCTGGTCCGATAGCTCGCCCGAC